CTGTCCCTCAGCTCTTCAGCTCAAGGCTAGCGCTCTGCCACTTGAGCCACAGCGCCACTTCCGGCTTTTTTTTTCCTTTTTGCTTATGTGGTGCTGAGGAATTGAACCCAGGGCCTCATGTATTGCAAGGCAAGCACTCTACCACTGAGCCACCTTCCCAGCCCCAAGTTTTACAATCTTAACTGTACAGTTGTTGGGCTTTTTAAAAAACCAATAATGATTAAAAATAGTTTTTTTTTTTTGGGTCCAGTCATGAGGCCTGAACTCTGGGCCTGGGCGCTGTCCCTCAGCTCTTCAGCTCAAAGCTAGCGCTCTACCACTTGAGCTACAACACCACTTCCGGCTTTTTTTCTCTTTGCTTATGTGGTGCTGGGGAATCAAACCCAGGGCCTCATGTACGCAAGGCAAGCGCTCTACCACTGAGCCACCTTACCAGCCCCAATTAAAAATAGTTGACTGCAGAGGATTAAAACTATTGTCAAAGGATACAGTCTGTTGTCAAATATCCAGAAAATGAGTCCAATAAGCCTGAGAATGAAAGGAGAAGCTGGGCACTGGTGGCTCACGTCTGTAATACTAGCTATTCATAAGGTTGAGATCTGAGGATCGTGGTTCCTGCCAGCCTAGGCAGGAATACCCATGAGACCCTTATCTCCAATTAACACCAAAAAATCCAGAAGTAGAGCTGTGGCTCAGGTGGTAAAGGCTTGAACAAAAATGCTCATGACCATTGCCTGGGCCCCGAGTTCAATCCCCAGGACCAACACACACACACACACACACACACACACACACACACACACACACACACGAATGAAAGGAAGAGAGGGGTACTGGTGGCTCATGCTTGTAATCCTAGCTACTCATCAGGCTGAGATATGAGGATTGAGGTTCCAAGCCCATACAAACAAATCTGAGAGACTCTTAATTACAATTAGCCAGCTAAAAGCTGGAAGGGGAGGTATGGCTCAAGTGCCAGCTTTGAGTGAAAAAGAAAAGCAAGACTGTGAGGTCCTGAGTTCCTCCAGTACTGGCACAAAAACAAACAACAACAAAAAAGAATGAAAGAAAAGAGACAATTAAAATCATCAAAAAAGAGGGCTTCAGAAAGCATACCATTCTTTCACTGTTGGCTACGATTGCAGAAAGGCTAAGTTGACTTTACTATGTGCTACTTAGCAGATTCTTACCATTAAGTATAGAAAACAAATCAGTTACTTAAAATATTCTCATATGGGGGCTAGGATTGTGGCTCAGTGATAGAGTGCTTGCTTAGCATGCATGAAGTACAAGGTTCAATTCCTCAGTACCATATAAATAGAAAAAGCCAGAAGTGGTGCTGTGGCTCAAGGGGTAGGGTCTAAGCCTTAAATAAAGAAGCACAAGGACAGTGCCCAGGCCCTGAGTTCAAGCCCCATGACTGGCCAAAAAAAAAAAAAAAGAAAAAAGGAAAAAAAAAGAATATTCTCACACGGAATCCTGACAGGGCCAACTAAACCAAGTTAGTGGTACCAACTCTGAGGAGCAAGCAAAGCATCCTACTTTTCCAGGATGTATATGGTGCTTTCAGAAAATGTTTTCTCAGGAATTTTCTGTCACTGTATTCAATACTCACTAAGAAAAGGTAGCGTTCTTGTGCTGAGGTGTTCCGAGCAGCGAGTTTGAGGATCTGTCCTTCTTTTATTAGTTCATTAGAAGGATTTACAATGTCTTCTTCTTCTCCCAACATTTCATAAATCTCCAAGAGTTTCTTCAGGTTCTCCTGGGAAATTAAAACAAAATAAAGCAAGATCAACTATAAGGAAGTTTTTTACCTTAGTAACCTGAACAGTACTATCATTGTGACTACAATCTGCATAATAGAGGAGTGGGGAATAAGCAGATGTGTGTGTGTGTGTGTGTGTGTGTGTGTGGCACATGTGTGCTAATCCTAAGGCTTGAACTCATGGTCTAGCTGTTGTCTATGAGCTTTTTTTGCTCAAGACTAGCATTCTACCAGTTATACTACAGCTCCACTTGCAGCTTTTTGGGTGATTAATAGGAGATAAGAGTCTCATGGACTTTCCTTCCTGGGCTGGCCTCAAACTGTGATCCTCAGATCTCAGCCTCCTGAGTAGCTATGAATAAAGGCCTGAGCCATCCGTGTCTGGCTGATGCATTTTTATATAAAATGCATCAACAAAAGGAAACCAGAAAACCAGAGAGAGAGAGGCTTATTCCAGAGAACACTAGACATACTTTGCAAACGTTTTTTTGGTTCACCTCTGTTGACTAGGTTCAAACCTACAGACAGTATTAGGCTATGTCATTAACAATTGTCTGTCCAGAAGGTTCCTGTCTCCTCTGTAAACCACTTACCATTTTTCTTATTGCGCTATTAGAATGGCTTGCTGCTGTAGAAATAATTTCAAGTGATTCTAAATGGGAAAAAAAGAAAATGAAATAAATATGCTTTGTACTTCCTGTGCTAGTGAGTAATTGAGTAACTTATCCACCAAAATAAAAAGAAATCTGAAATACCAGGGGAATAGCAGCAACTTCCACTTTACAAACTGGATTACTTTCAAAACTTTGTAAGAGGAGTGAGTACTTAAACATTAGGCAGCTCCATATAAAAGGAAAAAAAAATAGGCTCACAGGCCATACTTGGTCCATCATAGGTCTTAGAAAAAAATTAACAAGCACAATGTACAGTTTCAAGCACGCATGAACCATCTCCCCTAGGGGACCTAACAGGGCTTACTGTATACTAATTAGTTCTTATACAACCTTAAATGGTCTTACAGTGACATTAGCTCTGTTTGGTAGATGAAAGAAGTGAGGAACAAGTAACTTTACCAAGATCATAATCAGTTGGTCCAGGGTCATCATATGATACTGGATCTCAATGAAATCTAAGTCTTTTGACTCAAAGTTTGGCCACATTTCAAAGGTAGTAAATAATATATTACATTTTTCTTTGGAAAATTACTAAGCATAACCAAACTTCATGTGGGAAAATATGTGACAGTTCTAGGCTGGGGAATAGGAACTTTTTCTCTCTCTCTATTTTTGTATAGTATTAGGGCTTGAACTCAGTCTTGAACTCTTGCTTAGCTTTTTCCACTCAAGATCAGCCCTCTATCATTTGAGCCAGACCTCCAGTTCTTTCATTTTGGTAGTTAATTAGAGATAGAGTCTCTAGGATTTGTCTGCTCAGACTAGTTCTGAATGAGATCTTTAGATCTCAGCCTCCTGACTAGCTGGGATTATAGGTATGAGTTACTAGCATCCAGCCAGGGAAGAAATTCTTTGCCAGAGGCATTGTAGGAGTTCCAGCCACTGCAGAGGAAGTCAAGGGCTGCTGTTGGATCAATCCAAAGGAATAAGTCTTAGTTCTAAATCCTGTTTCACTTCCTTTCCGTCTTGCAAATACTGGCCTATTTAACTCCGTTACCACAACAACCCATGGCTTCTGGCCTACATTTGCTGTCTTTGCACTCTGCTCCTGCCCCTTCTGTTTTTAGGTCTCTAGAAGCTCTTTTTTTATTTCTTTAGAACTTTATGTGTAAGTAGCAAGAGGAAGGCAAAAAGAGCAATAAATTGTCCTACTTTATCCATAACTTTCTTAAGAAATTTTTTTTTGGTTTTGTGCTAGTACTGGGGCTTGAATTCAGAGACTTTGCGATCCCTTACTTTTCTGCTCTAGGCTTGTACTCTACCACTTGAGCCACAGTTCCACTTCTGGCTTTTTGCTGGCTAATTGGAGTAAATCTCATGGACTTTCTGCCTGGTCTGGCTTCAAACTGGGATCCTCAAATCTCAGCCTCCTGAGTAATTAGGATTTTAGGTATGAACTAACAGTGCCTGGAGCATTTTCATTTTTGATAAAGGGTATCATATAGGAAAAATACAGCCTTTTCATCTACATGTTTGAGAACTATCCAGATGTGGGCAATTCTGTGCAATCCTGTACCAAATATAGAGTCCAAGAAAGAGGGAGAAACTGTAAGAAGGGATGGGGCCACTGACCAAGTGATCCTTGGAAGGAATCCATGATTCCACCTCTAATCTACTGATAGCTCTGCCACTAGAGCCTAGCACTCAGGCTAGATGAGTGGAAAATGGGGATGTGGCAGAATTCCCAGAAAGTAGAAGGCAAGAGGAAGATGGGAAGTAAAATTCACAACCATATGGGAGAAAGGGGAAAGAGATATTTCTGTGGTCACTGAGTCATTTGGATGGTGAGTGAAACATACTGGAGACCTTCTACTTCCAAAACAAGAAAATGGCTCCCAGGCCAAAGATAACGTTTTCTGCTCCTCTTTTCTTAAACCAAAAGCAACTTACAAAAACAGGTCCTGAGTTCAAGCCTTCATACCAAAAACAAAGACAAAACAACCGCCCCCCCCCCTTAAAACCTAGTAGCTCATACCTGTACAGGTAATCCTATCTACTTAGGAGGCTGAGGTCTGAGGATCTCGGTACAGAGTCAGCAGAGCAGATAAACCCAAAGGATTCTTATCTCCCAAGTAACCACCAAAAAGTCAGAAGTAGAGCAGTGGCTTAAGTAGTAGGGTACAAACATTAAATAAAAAAGCTCAAGGACAGCTTCCAGCCTCTGAGTTTACACCCAGGGACAGGCACACACAACAACAACAACAATGACAACAACAAAACAAAACCACTAGTCACTTTCATTTCAACCTGATTTAAAAAAAAACCAAACTAGTAATTGGAGTAAATTTTCTTGAGGACAATGTCATTAGACAATAAAAGGCATCGTTTCCTGTTTTATCTTAGGGTAGGTAAGGCCAACTCTGCATAGGTTATTTTTACAGGATAAATGTCATCCTAGCTTTCTTGCTCTGCATCAACCTATCTAATTAAAACAGCAGCACTTGTGATTTCAAATGATTGTGCTCTTTCTGGGAGAAGGTAATTGTATATTGCTGTTTCAGATGTCTCTAGGTCTGCAGTTTTATATTTCAGTTAGTGATTAATGTGAACTCAGAGCAGGAAATGTGATTTGCACTACTCCCAACCTGTGACTTGGATTATGGAAAGTGGCTTGCCTGACTGAGATGACAATTATAATTTCTAGTGTAATTATTTTGAGAGCAATATCTGACCAAAGAAATGATCAAATACTGGACCCACAAGTAAGTTTGGTTATCCTATAATGGAGTGAGGGATGTAAAATATAAAAAACACTTACTTTTTGCATCATTCCAGTCTGGAGAGTCAGGAGGCAATTTTCTTAGGTAGTCCTTAAGAAGCATCTCATACCGTGGAATCCGCTGAACAGGTTCTAGCATGTGATGTTGTAAAGTTAAGCTCCCACAGACCTTCTGTTTCTAAAGTGAGCAGAGAGTTTAAAGAAAACATTACAAAATCGCATTAGTCATTTTAAAACCCTTAGCTGGGCGCCAGTGGCTCGTGCCTGAAATCCTAGCTGCTTAGGAGACTGAGACCTTAGGATCAAGGGTTAAAGCCAGCCTGGGTAGACATATCTGAGACTCTTATCTGCAATTAACCACTAAAAAGCCAAAGTAGAACTGTTTACTCAAGTGGTAGAACACTACCTTTCAGCAAAAAAGCTAAGGGACAGTGGGGCCAAGAGTTTAAGTCCTAGTACTGGCATATACACAAAAACAACAAAAGACTCACTATATGATAAACTTTCATCAAGAACAATGTGTACATATTGTAGCTGAGCCTAACTTTCATTAGCAATACCTAAGAGGCTTTAAAAATGCAGATTTGCCAGTGACTCACACCTGTAATCCTAGCTACTCAGGAGGCTGCAATCTGAGGATCACAAGTCAAAGTCAGCCCAGGCAGGCAAGTTTGTGAAATTCTTTTTTGTTGTTGTTGTTGTTTTTTGTACAGAGGGGTTACAATTACATGGGCAAGGTAATGAGTACGTTTCTTATCAAGCATTGTAGCCACCTCCTTTGTTTCCCCTTCACATCCCTTCTGAAATTCTTTTTTTTTGTTTGTTTTTTGGGTCTGGTCATGGGGCCTGAACTCTGGGCCTGGGCGCTGTCCCTCAGCTCTTCAGCTCAAGGCTAGCGCTCTACCACTTGAGCCACAGTGCCACTTCTAGCTTTTCTTTTTGCTTATGTGGTGCTGAGGAATTGAACCCAGGGCATCGAGCATGCAAGGCAAGCGCTCTACCACTGAGCCACCTTCCCAGCCCATGATAAATCTTCTTGATGAAGGTAAAGAAACCTTGAAGAAATCCTTTCTTGAGCCTTCCCTATTTATCTCCATTTTTGGGAGCCATTGTAGACCAGATAGACTATAGTCACTTAATTCAGATTTACGATAGCACCATATTATCATAAATATAACTTGCAGCTCACTGAAATAAATAAGAAAATTAAAGCCAGGCACCGGTGGCTCATGCCTGTAATCCTAGCTGCTCAGGAGGCTGAGATCTGAGGAATGCGGTTCAAAGCCAGCCTGGGTAGGAAAGTCCGTGAGACTCTTATCTCCAATAAACCACTCAGAAAACTGGAAATGGCACTGTGACTCAAATGGTAGAGCACTAGCCTTGAGCTGAAGAGCTAAGGGACAGCGCCCAGGCCTAGAGTTCAAGTCCCACAACCAAAAAAAAAAAAAAAAAGAGAAAGAAAGAAAGAAAAGAAACTTAAGGAAGGGGAGGTGGGAAGGATTAGGGGGTCGGGGGGAGGATGGGAATGGATGGGAAGGGGAAACAAAGGAGGTGGCTACAATGCTTGATAAGAAATGTACTCATTATCTTGCCCATGTAATTGTAACCCCTCTGTACAGTATTTTCACAATATAAAAAATAAAAAAAAGAAACTTAAGGAAGAATGACCATGTTTCTAATCCTAACTGGAATAGTATATTCTTAAGAAAGTTCCAATGAGCCCCAACTAGCTTACAGAAGGGCTTAAGTCTTCCTTTAGGCAAATCAAGAAACCTTAGAGCCAGTGCAGGTGGCCCATACCTGTATGCCTGGCTACTCAGGAGGATGAGATCTGAGGATCTAAGTTTGAAGACAGCTCAGGTGTAAGTCCTTAAGACCCTATCTACAACCAGCACAAGGCTGGAAAAGGAAGTGTGACTAAAGTTGTAGAGTGCCAGCCTTGAGCAAAAAAAGTAAAGGGAGAGTGAGCTCAAGCCTCAGTACCAACACACACACACACACACACACACACACACACACACACACACACACACACACTTTTTTTTCTTCCCCTAGTCCTGAGTCTTAAGCTCAGGTCCTGGGAGCTGTCCCTGAACTTTTTTGTTCAAAGCTAGCACTCTACCACTTGAGCCACAATTCAACTTCCAGCTTTTTTGGTGATTAATTGGGGATAATTTGGTGATTAATTGGGGATAAGAGTCTCTTGGATATTCCTGCCCAGCTGACTTCCAACTGCAGTCCTCAAATCTTAGCCTCAGGAACATCTAGGATTACAGGTGTGAGGCACGGGTGTCTGGTGTGTGTGTGCACACGCACCCACACCCACAAATTCTAACTGGACTCCATCAACCTCATGCTGTGAGTACCTTGCCATTCTAAAGAGTTTTCTGATTGTATGTTTGTCTGCATGGCTCTAGGAGTGAAATAATGGGAAAGACCTCCCAGCTCTCTGTTTAAATCCTCTGAGGATGCCAGAGGAAAAGGCATTCACTCATGGGGAGAGAAACCTCAACATCATCCTGTCCTAGCATTTATTCTGATAGTGCAGAAAGCTGGGACAGGAATAGAAAGTTTGCTCACCTGGCCTGCAGTTCCAGCGTCCTCTCTTTCCCAGACACCTGGAAAGTATGGGGATACTCTTCATTCTGTGTCTCTATGATATTCATCCCATCAATGCCAACTCTGGTCCTAACTGTGAATTTTGAGCCCACCAAGCTGAATCTGGGCACGCAGTACAGCAACATGTTGTTGAACTGCAAGGAAAGATAACACAAGATCAATAAACAGGAAAATAAAGGAAAGAGCTGGGCAGTGGTGGCTCACACCTGTACTACTAGCTACTCAACAGGCTAAGATCTGAGAATCCCCATTAAATACCAGCCCAGGAAAACAATTTCATGGACTTTTATTTCTAATTACCTAGTAAAAAGCTGGACATGGAGGTATGGCAAGTGATAGAATATCAGTCTTCAGTGAAAAAGCCAAGCAAAGGCACAAGGCCTGGAGTTTAAGACCTAGTACTGGCACAAACACATAAATTACTCTCTGTACTACTTATTGGAGACTGAGTATCCAAGCTCCCACACTAGCTGAGCAGTCAACTCTTGTACATCAGGAGAAATCATCTGCAATACACACATGGGAAGTATTTACAACAGCGCTTTGAGTTATCTAATTGTACACTCTTCTAAGGTTTGATTTTGGATCCTTCTTGCCTGGTCTTTGGCTCATACCATGCTTCCTGGCATTATCAAGACACAAAACACCAATGGATACTCAGAACATCCCAATATGTGCATGTGACACTATTCACCCTACTCATTGTTTTTATTTGTGCTAAAACTGTGTCTTGAACTCACGGCCTCAGTCTTGCTTGGCTTTATTATTGTGTGTGTGTGTGTGTGTGTGTGTGTGTGTGTGTGCTTGAACTCAGGGCTTAGGCTTGTCCCTGGACATTTTTGCTCAAGGCTACTGCTCTGCTACTTGTGCCACAGCTCCACTTCCAGCATTTTGCTGATTAACTGGGACTTTTCCTGTACTGGCTGGCTTTGAGCCATCAGTCACAGATCTCAGCCTCCCAAGTAGGTAGGATATAATCCTATTTACAGGTATTCAGATCACTATACATTCTTGCTCTTAAGTGTTATAGTTTTGTTCTTAAACATTCAGTTCTGTTTCTATCTAACCAATGTTCTTAAACTTTTACATGGGAGAATTCTTTTAGAAATAGTTGTAGTCTGAATATCTTGTTGTCTAGCCCAATTAAGCTGCTGTTTGGAAGAGAGGTGGCAAAGAGCCTTGGGGGAAAATGGGCAATAAGTGACTGCCCAAGATCATCTTGTTCCAATTACTGTTGGCCATCAAACATAACACAGTCACTCCCAGGAGAAGGAAGTCATGTGGCAGGAGCTTTGGCCAAGGTCATCTTAGAAAGCTTTGCTAGTGTGAAGCTGTTCGTGCCAGCTTTGATTGGCTTTGTTGCTCAAGGCCAGTGCTCTGCCACTTGAGTCATGATTCCACTTCTAGGTTTTTATTGGTTAATTGGAGAAAACAGCCTCTGAGGTCTGCCTAGGCTGGCTTCGAATCTTGATCCTCAGTTGTCAGCCTCCTGAGTGGCTAGGATTACAAATATAAGCCACAGGCCCCTAGCCACCCTAATTGTGAAACCACTTCCCTGCTGGTTGTTTCTCCTTTGTCATTCTGTAACTTTCTATAGTCTCTATCATAAATGTCAGCTCCACAATGGACAGTGGAGGAAAAGGGCACTAAAACACACCTTATAGAAATCCCATTATTCACGTTACATATACATTTCTAGAAAAGGACCAATGCCTTATGATTAACTCCCCATGATCCTCAGAATGTGGCCATCACCCTTCCCTGCAGGACTTAAGAGATTCAAAACACTCCTAAAGGTTCTCAGATGATCCCTGTCATAGTTTGAGCAAGGCAGCATCTTGACTGCTGACTTTCCAAGTTAATTAATGTTGCTTTTCTTCCTCAGGAGGAAATCTGGGTTGGACTCTGCATGTTGGGTGGGATACAGAGCTACTTACTAACTTAAGGACAGAACTCACACTTGCATGCTTTCAGGACAATGGTCCCTTTATATAGGGACTTTGCACTCCTCAGTGGGACTTGATACTTTAAATGGTCAGTAATGATATGCTGAAAAATTATAACCATAATCAACTGATATACACATAAATGTATAGATATATCTACACATATGTGTATAGCTACATGTATCTCATGATATACACAGATGTGCATACACATATCTATACACATCTTAACATATCTATACACATATGTGTATAGATACATTTATTTCATATCTATACTACATCATAAAATATATAATATCATGACATATTTAATATATACAGATCAGTATATAGATCTATACATAACTATATAGAATCTATATATAGATATCTATACATAGATATAGATACATCTATACACATGGATATATATCTATGTATATACTACATAGCTAAATGGCTATACAGGTAGACACAGATATCTATATTATGCAGTATATATAGTATGCTATATATACCATATATAATATATACATACATACTATATATACATATATAGTATATTCATATTATAGTATATATACACAGATATTGTATATACAGATCTGTATCTATGTCCACCTGTAATCCTAGCTACTCAGAAGGCTGAGATCTGAGGATCATGGTTCAAAGCCAGTCTGGGCAGGAAAGTCTGTGAGACTCTTATCCAACTAACTCCCAGAAAACCAGAAGTGGCTCTGAGTGGTAGAGTGCTAGCCTTCAGTAAAAAAAACTCAGAGACAGTGTTTAGACTCTGAGTTTAAGCCCTATGACCAACAAAAAAAAAAGGGGGGGGGGAAGTGTGAGCAAACTGTGTGGAGGCAAGCAAATATACAAACACTTTGAGATCATTTTAATGTAAAAGTCAGATTCTAACTATATTTTGGCTTTTTAGCCAAATAAAATAGTCAAGGAATAGGAAAGAGAAAACATTCTCATTTTTCTCTCTAAAGAGAAAAGACAAGAAATGTGGTGCTTGGTTCTATATAGAAAACAGCAGGGAACACACACAGAAAGTTTCAGTCTTGTCTACATGAAATGAACTTCACACTGGCAAAGCTTTCTAAGATGACCTTCAAAAGATGAATGAATGTGAGTTGGCCAAAGCTCTGGCCACATGACTTCCTTCTCCTGGGAGTGACGGTGTTATGTTTGATGGCCAACAGTAACTGGAACAAGACGATCTTGGGCAGTCACTTATTGCCCATTTCCCTCCCGAGGCTCTTTGCCACCTCTCTTCCAAACAGCAGCTTAATTGGGCTAGACAACAAGATATTCAGCCTGCAACTATTTCTAAAAGAATTCTCCCATGTAAAAGTTTAAGAACATTGGTTAGATAGAAACAGAACTGAATGTTTAAGAACAAAACTGTAACACTTAAGAGGAAGAATGTACAGTGATCTGAATATCTACAAAGACAGAAAGAGACATTAATTCCTAGGAATTTTACTCAGAATTTTTTTTTGGGGGGGGTCTGGTCAAGGGGCCTGAACTCTGGGCCTGAGCACTGTCCCTCAGCTCTTCAGCTCAAGGCTAGCACTCTACCACTTGAGCCACAG